TGCTCTTGACGATCATGTCGTCAACATACGCCTCCATGGTGCGCCCTAGGACAACTTGGGATACCCTGGCCACCATCCGAGTGTAGGTGGCACATGAGTTCTTTAGGCCGAAGGCCTTGACAAGGTAGCAAAAGATGCCCTCGGGAGTCATGAAGGCCGTTTTTTCAGCGTCCTCCTCATGCATGTATATTTGATGATATCCGCGGAATGAGTCGAGGAATGACATGATTTCACACCCCGCGGTTTCATCCACAAGTTGGTCAATATTTGGCAAAGGAAAGGGGTCCATGGGACACGCCTTGTGGAGATCCGTGTAATCCACGCACATGCGGAATGAGGGCGGTTTCTGTGCGAGGACTACGTTTGCCAGCCATGAGGGTTACTTCACCTCCTTGATGTGCTTGATAGAGAGGAGAATGACGACCTCCTTCTTCACAAATTCCCTCCTCTCGGCCTAGAGGGGTCTCCTTCGCTGCTGTACTGGTTTGGCTGAAGGGTCCACCGAGACGCGGTGGGTGATGACCCTTCGGCTGATCCCCGGCATGTCCTCCGGCCCCCATGCAAAAACAATGGAGTAGGCGCGGAGGGCGCTGATGATGTCTGTCTTCAGGTCTTCGGGGAGCTTGGCTCCAATCTTCAAGACTCTCTTCGGCTTGGCCGGATCGAGTGCGAAGTCTTCTACCTCCTCGGCTGGTTCAGCCCTCGGCCTCCTTTCTTCCGCTTCCACAGTTCCGGTGATGGTGTCAACGCGGAACTCCGTCTTGCTAACCTTCTTTGTCACTTGAAGGTAACAAGCGCGGGCAAGTTTTTGGTTCCCCCTTGAGTAACCGATTCCCCCCTCGGCTGGGAACTTGAGACAGAGGTGCCTCATGGAGATGACGGCTTCGAGATCCTCGAGGGCTGACAGGCCGAGGATGATGTTGTGGGCGCAGTCGATGTTGACGACGACGAACTCCCCTTCGAGCTTGGCCCTATGGAGCCCGTCGCCGAATAGTACCGGGAGGGTTATGACCCCCTCGAAATCAATGGTGTCGCCGGTGAAGCCGGCAAGAGGGGTCTTGATGGGCCGAAGGGACCCCCTCTCCAGATGCAGCTCTCTGAAGGTGCTGAGGTACATTACATTGACAGAGCTGCCCGTGTCAATGTAAGTTCTGTGAATAATAGTTTCGTTGATCTCTATGCGGATGACGAGGGCATCCCTGTGTGGGGAGGACACTGGGGGGAGGTCAGCGTTAGTGAAGATAATGGGTTCCTCCCTCAGCCGCTTTACCGGGGGCATATGAGTGACTTCCCCCACGTAAAGTGATTGAGCCCACTTCTTTCGTTGACTCGTAGAATCACCCCCGGTATTTCCCCCCATGATCATGAGGATGTGGCGTTTCTTTTCTTGGTACCGGGGGTACTCCTCATCCTCTTCCTCCAGATTTCCAATCTCCCTCTTCTTGCCGAGGGGGATGGTGTTGGGGTTGACCCATGCATTTGCTCTCGCGGGTTGCCCTCGGGTTGGCCCTTGGTGAGGGGGGACCCTATTGCTGAGGGCCCTGGATAAACTGGGACAGATGGTCCGCTTGTATCAATCTTTCGATGGCCGTCTTCAGCTGATGGCAGTCATCGGTCCTGTGCCCCTGGTGTCGGTGGAAACGACAGTAGGGGTAGTTCGGATTGATGGCGAATACTTCCGGGGGCGCACGTGAATCTCGCTCCACTAGGCCCCTCTCCTCAGCAAAGTCCAGAATGACGCTGACGGGGTGCGTCAAAGGTGTCCGAGGGTATTCTAGGAGGACAGGCTGTGCCTAAGCCCTCGGGTTCCCCTTGTAGCCTCCCCCGGGCTTGGCTTGGCCATGCCGGGGGTGATCACCGGAGGGGGCAGAATCCTTGGGATGATTGCGGGGAGCCCTCGGCCCCCGGTTACCTTTGTCGTCTGGCTGAGGGCGTTGCTGATCTGGGACGTGGTGGCATTTCTCCACCTCCTCGGCTTCGGCGTACCGGTCCCCCCGCTGTAGGGCCCTTATATAATCGCGGGGGGGGGGGGGGGAGGGGGGTTCGATGATGAGGCTTCTTGAGAAGTTCCCGGGGCGGAGTACTATTTGTAGGAGGGGCAGGAGGGTCCCGTCGTCAGCGCCATCAACTTTATCAGCCTCCGTCCTCCAGCGCTCTAGGAAGTCCCGAAGGGTCTCCTCCTTCTTCTGCCTCACTGTTAGCAAGTGGGAGAAGTGTTTCCTTATGCGGCGTCTTCCCGCAAATTGCGTCAAGAATCGCTGGGCGAGTTCTTGCCATGAGTCAATGCAGCCCTCGGGCAATCAACTGAACCATTCGTAAGTCGGCCCCTCCAAGGTGGAGAGGAACCAGCGGCACAAATATTCATCTGATGCCCCCACCATCATCATGCTGTTTTGATACATGTTGTAGTGTTCTTGGGGATCAGTCTTTCCGTCGTAGGGCTTGATGAGCTGCCCTCGGTATTTTTCCGGGATCCGGGCCGCGAATACCCTTGGGGTGAATGGCGTCCGGGTCCGGAGCTGTATGGTGGGTTCCCCAGAGCCCTCGGCTATCCTCTTCTGCATTTCCTCCATCTTGGCCAACATCGCCTCATACTTGAGGTCTGCATGAGGGGCAGAAGTGGCGGCGTGTGCTTTGGTGGCCTCCATCTCGTCAAGCCGGCGCTGGAGGGCCGCAATGATCTCGTCCCGGGGGTCCTTCGGGAGGGCCTCCGCCCCCTGCGAATGGACCCGGGTCGAGTGGGCCTGGTTGATTTGGTGGCGTGCGTCGTCGGCATGGAGAGGTGCCTTGCCTTTGTCCTGAGGGGGACGCCTTTCATTGGCCCTGGAGACGGACCCGCCACTTTCCTGAGGCCTCTGGAACGTCTTCCCCCCCGAGGCGGTCTTGGACACCTCAGCGGTCTTGCGCCCCTCCAAGTCTCTCGAGGGAGGAAGTCCGGAGTTGTTCCTTGTTAACATTGTGGCGGTCCCGGGACTGGACTTCCTAGGAGACCGTATCTTAGGCCACGACCCCCTCAGAGTTCCCCATCCGGAGGACCGGGTTACCGAGGGGTCGTGGATGAGGGGGAGTCATAATATTCTCCCCGACCTGAGGTTGGTGGGGAACCAAAGTGCCGAAGGCACCCGGGTTCTGGGCGAGCGTCTGGATGAAGGCGGAGAGCGCCAATTGCACGTCGATTGTGATAACCGGAGGGCTAATTTGATTCTCGCTCTGGTCCTTTTTCTTGGCCTCGATGCCGAGGCGGGTATCAGGGGCATTTTGTTGAATCTGCTGGCGTAGGTCGACAGCCGTCTGGTCCAACCCGGCGATGACGCCGCCCCCGGGAGCCCTGTTAGAGGCTTCGGGGACGTCGACCTCACCGAGGGCCAGGTTCCTGTCCTCTACATTTTTGGAGTTGGCACGAGTTGTTCTCACCATTTTAGCTGGGTGTTTTGTGTTTGGTCGAGGGGGAGTGTTTCTTACTTGATTGTTCGACCTCTCAACGAGAGCACCAAATGATGGATAGTGTACCCGGGGGGTAGCTTATCCGAGGGGTTATTACGAGGAATAACTAGAGAGAAGTCAGAGCAAATGAGTAGAGAGAGAGAGTGTATTAGAAATGCGTTCAGTGTTTTCAGCCTGGTTTACAACCGGGAAATGGAGTGCTACTTATAGTAGTAATAAATGCCAGACAGGGACACGTGTCAAGCACCCATTGGCCGAGGGGTCACCTCAACTGGCTGGCGCTGGCAACCGCATGTGGCCGCATTAAATGCGGCTGCTGTATGTGACGTCGTACTTGGTACGGTGATCTATACGCATGTGGAGCGGATATCATGTCGGAAAAGGTGCCATCGACTGTAGGTGATAAGCCGAGGGCTATGAGTACCGGGGACCCCTTTAGTGCCGAGGGCTCTAGGTGCCGAGGGCTACTGATCTTCGCCGTTTTCTCCCAGTAACTTTGTTTTCCTGTTTTGACCTTCCTGTGAGAATCAGAGCCTTCGGCCAGGGGGCCGAAGGCATCCCTGGTGCGCATTGTGGGCTGTTTGGTACTCTGGGCGCCGTGATCTGGGCCTGTTGTGCTTCCTGGACCTATTGGGCCTTTATTGGCGCAGTAGGAGTCTGTGGACCGGGGGTTCCCGGGCCATATACTCCATCAGAGATGTTTACATATATTACATATAAAAACTCATGGTTGCATTGGAGACTTAATTTTTGTTTAACAGTCCATTTGGCCAAGTCAGCCCCATAACCTGTTCCATAGTTTGTCTAATTGTGATGTGTCCACATTTAATGCACTACGATTCACATGTCTATTGGAGATGCTCTTACTATCTCGCGTGGCTTGCTCCGGGGAAAAAGGGAAAGTTCTTAGTGTGAACAAATTTATTAATTACATGATACATAAGAAAATAATCTTACCAGACTGACAATAGGCATACACACAAGGTATGAGGCTTAAGATATTTTTTAGGGACCAAAATTTGCTGGTCTGATTTGATCTAGTTTGGTTTATTTAAGTCTGGTCTGAACTAACCCGGTCTCTGTATATTTTATAACTTTCTAAGTCAGGTCTGATCTGATCTAACTTGTTCAAGTCTGGTTTGGTCTGTGCTTGAAAAAATCCAAAAGAAAACATCAATCTCTAACGCTTTTCTCTATAAATATATACATTGCTTAGCTATTATTTAATGCAAGTATATACATTTCTTATATTTTACATACTATTTAATACTCCTTCCGTCCCTTAAAGGTTTGCCAAATTTGACCGGCACGTAGAATAATAAAGTAAAAACTGTGTGGTAGATATTTGTGCAGAGGAGACAGAAATAACAGGAGCCACAGATTGATTGATTAACAGATTGATTGAGTAAAGGGAAAGTGACAAAGATTGATTGATTTAAAGGGAAAATGATTGATTAACAGGAGTATGAATAACAAAAGCAGTATAGAATTTAGATCAAGATCTACTACTCAATCACATCCTAAAAACAAGATATATTGATAATGAAAAGAGACGCACCACAAAAAGTAGATCTGCCTTTTTCAACCATGTTGAATTTCTTGGTTTCATATAAACATTTTGAGGACCAATCTCTTGAAAAGAGCCAATGGCAACTCCAGAAGCTCCCTAATGCAAGCACCAATATATAAATATACTTAGAAAAAATCATACTCAATTCCTAATAATCAATATATATAAACATACACATAGAATTGGGATTATTTAATTAGAAGAATGCTTCATTTAAGAAATAGGAATGAATGTATTGCATTAGACCTAGACCTAATGACTCTAAAAGTGTCAAAAATGCTGCAAAATGAAAAGAAACACGGTGACATTTATGTAATTAAGTTCTTTTTAGCTACCGCAAATAGCTAGGTACAATATACAGAGAAAAAAGTGAACCGTGGTTCATGGAACATCAATTGTAATTTTGCATTTCTCAATGGAAGTACCCGACCTAAGTGACCCACACCCTACACACACGCATATATATATAGGGTGCAGTTCCAATAAAAAAAGTTTTAAATTAAGTAAGAACTAAGAATGAATCTTAACCACAGACTTTGACTATGTTGCAGTAAGAGAGCTTCATGTTGCACAAAAATATGCAACCATGCACAATGGCATTTCCGTAATGACTTTTGAAAATTTAGTGTTAGACCTCTCAAGTGTAACATGAAGCTCTTTCAGTGCAACATGAAACTATTTTGGTGCAACATCGCAAAATGTAAAACCTAGTGACGAGAATTGCAATTTTAGTTATGTAACTTTTGATTATACCAATTAGCATAGAAAAATATACTTTTCAGATGTAAATTCGTCGGAAAAGATGTCTCCAGTGTCAATTAGTATGCCGAAAAGTATTCTTTCCAATTTAACAAGACTAAATCTGCAACCAAGTAAAGTTATACGTAGTAGTACTAAATCTACTAATAGAAGACACAACCGAAAGTTATAGGACTAAAGTTGCAATTCTCCCAAAGTAGTGCAAAATGAGGCTATTTTAGTGCAATATCTTAAAATTCAAAATCTAGCACAAAACTATAATTTCAACAACCGAGAGTCATTCTCATTTCTCAAGTGGGAAATACGTCGTCTTTTTTTGAATTTCTTTTTATTCTTTTATAGATTTACTGATTTTGTAATGATAATAATACGGAGTAATTATTAAATTATACTCCGTAATAGGGAATAATAAAAATTATACCGTGTATATGAAAAAACATGTACCTATCATGTACGGAGTATGAGCATGAAAATAAGTAACTTGAGTCATTTAATGAAAAAATATACAATATAATTATACACCGTATTTTATTAAATATGTTTCTCGCATATTACTTGTCGTCTTTATATTGCAAGGGCTCGATATAAACTACATACATATTAGTGTAATTAAAGGAAAATATCCCAATTAAATACTCCGTAATAATTAATTATTAGATAAAATTAGTAGGAAAAATGACTTACAGGTCCACCCTGCAACCAGAGAATTGTTGGCCATGGTTTTTGTGAATTTAAAACTCTATATGGACTTTTGTAAAGCAACCAGAACATATGCGCTCCTGTTTTACCACACAGTAGAATGAAGATTTGATGACGACCACGAGAACAACAATAATAACAATAAATAAATAAATAAATAAATAAATAAATAAAATCTAAACAAAGGTGCTGATCAAAACAATTTAAAAATATAATGAGATGTTAATTACCTGGCCTGACTTGAACATAGCCACATTCTTCTGATCCATTACTGGAGGTTTCATATTTGGCAGCTCCAACGCCCCAATTTTTGATAGTTGAAGAATAAAGCAATAAAGTAACAGTAGCCAGATACCCAACAACATTAATCTTTTCCATCTTGGAAAGCGAAATGAAACGATACCGGAGCTTATTTTTAATCAATCGATTTAATAACGAAGGCATTCCTTATATTAGGAGAATAGATGGATGACACATGCCCCCAACCCCGATCGAACGGTACGTTGTGAGAATGTAAATTGGACTATAATCAAAATTTGACAGATAGAGAGTGAGGTTCTGTCCCCGGTACTTGCAGAGGTCCTATGCATTTTTAATTTAGCATAGTAACCCCTCATCGCAGTTGCCGGAATTCGAACCCGGGATCTAACCCTTGTGGCACTCCCTTGCTACCAGTTGAGCTAAGCCCACCGGTGGAGAATAGATACTACATACGTACAATCATATTGGGGAGCTATTATTGACTTTCATTCGTCTCCTTTAATTCCATTGAAATTTTCTGGTTTAGTTTGATTTGATTTAATTTGATATGGTGTGATTTATTTATGTCTGATTCGAACTGATCTCGTCTGGTAGATATCTAATTTATGTGCATGTTTAATATTGATAGTATAATTTGGTCTAGTAGATGTTTCGTCAATATGTATTTTATAATTGTCTCTTTTGAATTGGTATGATCTAATATGTGCAAGATTGATCCTATGTCTAAAACCGAAAAAAAATCAAATAAAAATACTCCGTAGTTTGTAACAAATAATTTTTGATGCCATACACATTTCATTTTTGTTCGGTGAGTAGGTGAAGAATAAAATTTTGGGGCTATTCACCGACACGATCCATGAATTTGGGTGCTAAAATTATCCTAAATTTCCAAAGGTGGAACCGTGGAAAATCCCATTCAAATTAATCTTCTTCGTACCTAGCGTGATTGCGTGGAAGGCCGATCAAAAGGCTGCAGACATTATGGACTGGCACATCAATAAAGCAACTCAGAAAATCAGAAATACTCATTCCTTCCCTAAACACTTACCAAATTTAACCGACATGAGGATAAATAATAAATAATGTAAAAATTATTTGTTAAAAGTTTATGCAGAGAAAAGAGAATTAAGTGGAATCATCAATTTTTTAGTAAAAAAGAAAAGTAAAAAAGTTAGTAGATCAATCAAAAAAGGAAAGTTGACAAAATTTTTATGGACGAAGTGCTTTTTTACAAATCTGTAACGCCGATGTCGTCACCGATAACATCATTTATAATTTTTATGGACGAAGAGAGTGTCTTTTTACAAATATGTAACGCCGATGTCGTCACCGATAACATCAATTAATCATAAATGTAACACCAATGTCACCGATGTCAACATCATTTTTATTTAAAAATAATTACTCTTAAAAACCTTTAAACAAAATAGAGTTTCCCCCCAAATTTTAAGGGTTCTTTTATTCCGTCCATTTTGACTATCACTCTGTCGTTGATTTCTTCTCAAATAAATGATGCAAGTGCTTCTAGAGTGTTATGCTATTGTTCAATTGCTATTGATGTTGTTGGGATATTGACCTAGAGGCCCAATACCCGGATCAAGAAGGCCCAAGATACCCGGCCCAAACAACGGGCCCATCACTCTATGATGATATAATCAAGGTAGAATTGATGCCGAACGAGATTCGGCCCAAATAAGGGTTGGCCCAGTAAGAAAACATACCGAACGGAGTTCGGGCTATATATTATACTTCGGCCAATTTGACAGCATCTTCAGCATAGCCCAACATCCCGTTCGAGCAACGGCCAACCGGCAAGTGGCCAGGTGCAACTAATGCCAGATTGTGACATCAGCAAGTGGAAACATGGGTGACCAAGTCGGTGGAACAATGGCCAATCAGCATAGGGCAGCCCACGCTCTCCATTAGTATAAATAGAAGGTTTCAAGTCATTGTAAGGGTTAGCATTTCAATACTCAGGCTCTAGAATAGCATCATTGCTCTTATTTCTTGTATTAAAACATTGTTTCCGACCTACCGATCGGAAAATTCCTTGTAATCAGACTGGTTAGTTAATATAAGTGAGCTTTCGAGTATTAGTGAGTTCGTATTTTATATTTTGTTTATACACTTTGATTCTGTGCCATTCCTGATATATCCAAAGTTCGTGTTGGACTTTCGGATCTACGAGATTCACATTCAAATCATCCAAAAAACCACTATTTTCAAAAATGGTCAGAATCAGTTCCTATCATACAAACGACGGTTCACGCCGTCACGGAAGGAGTCACACCCCGGGGAGTCAAAACCCTCAGGGACAATCCAGCTGAGGATCGTATCCTCGTTTTGATGGGGATTTTGTGATTCCCGAATCTCTGAGAAGAAATCCTGAGGCCATGCGAGACATGGCTCAAGTCATGCAGCATATGGCGAACGAGGAGGAATGAGGGTCCAACTTTACAGGGGAGACTCCACGCACGGAAACAACTACAGCATCATCCCGTTCGCATGCCCATCGGGATAATCGACGTAGTGCCCCACCAACAACACACCATAGTCCCAGTGACCGAACCCCGATCGGGTCACAAGCTAGAGGACCAACTTCCATTGGTCATCATTTCCAGAATGCCGAGCGGGAGAATACCAGGGCCCCTCAACGGCATTGGGACCGGGACTATACGAACATGAGGGCTCCACCACCGCCCCCTTTGACGGCCCAGGAGGAAGAAATGGCCGAGATGAGGAGGCAGATGAATGAGATGCGGGACCAAATGAACAGGGCACCTGTACAACCTGCCCCAGTTCAGCTGGGAATTACTTCCCCTTTTACTAGGGAACTCATGTACGCAGACATCCAAGGGGGTGCCAAGCCACCGACCGGCCAAATCTATGACGGGGTGGGAGATCCCCATGTGCATTTGAGGAGTTACCAAGGGGGACTCATGCTGCTAGGAGCACCCGAGGCCGCTATTTGCCGGTTGTTTTTTAGTACGCTCAGGGGCCCGCCCAGGAGTGGTTCGGGACACTACAGCCCGGATCAATCAACAGCTTTGCCGAGTTATCGGCGTTATTCTTGGCCCAGTTTGCTTCCAGTGCCAATCCCAAACGGCACTTCAGCTATTTGACCAGCGTGAAGCAAAACGCCAAAGAGACCCTCAATCAATTTCTGAAAAGATGGAGGGATGAAACTTTGACGGTGGGAAACATGACGGATGATACCGCCATTACCCTATTCACGAATGCTCTCCGAACGGGGGAGTTGTACAAGGAATTAAAGAAAAATCCGGGTACAGTCTACGCCGAGGTATTAGACAGGGCTCGCAAGCATGTCGCCCTAGAAGAGGAGATAATGATCAGGGATAAGGTCATTGCGCCTGCTGCCCCGATCAGAATGGCCGATCGGCTGGGTCCTAGCCCAGCGGCCGCTATACCTCCCAAGCAAGGGAGATTTACTCCCCTGGTCCTATCAGTAGCGACCATTTATCAGCACGAGAGGGACAATATTCCCCTCCTGACTGATTCTGGACAGTTTATGGGAGCGGACGACAATGCTTTCTGTAAATATCACAACAGGAAGGGTCATGCCACCAATGCCTGTAGGGCCCTACAAACAGCCATTGAGGATTTGATCCGAAGGGGTCATCTGGGCAAATATGTGAATAAAGATCCAAATGCTGTAGGCACGTTGAAACCGGTCAGGAAACCTAATAGCTGGCGCCGGGATGCCCAACGTGATGCCCAACCTCAAAATGACGTTTATGTTCCCCCCAGGGATGAACCAGAGGGCTCGGGAGGCCCTGGAAAGAAACCTCGAATGGAGGTCAAGGTTATATTCGGGGGCGGGGAGAAAGGGGATTCGAACGCCGAACGGAAGAGGTTCGAGCGATGTCTTTATGTGGGATCCGTCTCCGCTCCCCCCCAGAAGAAAGGAAGGACGGACCCGATCACGTTCGGGCCAGCTGATTTACCCAACTCTCCAAGCCCGCACAGGGATGAACTGGTGGTAAGCATGTGTATTGACAATGCTTTGATCCGCCGAGTACTGGTCGATACCGGGAGCAGTGTGAATGTATTGTATCTACAATCATTCGAAAAAATGGGTCTACAAAGAAGCCAACTGACCCACCTACGGACCCCACTGGCAAGTTTCACCGGTAATTGCATTGAGGCTGAGGGTACCATCCAATTGATGGTTGAAATTGGGGATGAAACACACAAAGCGTCACTCCGGATGACGTTCGTGGTGGTAGATATAAAGTGTGCCCACAATGCCATATTGGGCCGACCGGGATTGGAAGATCTGGAGGCAATAGCCTCTGTCCGCCACTCATGCATCAAATTCCCTACAGACACTGGGGTTGGGGTGGCCAGAACTGATCCGACGACAGCTCAGACATGTTATCGAGAGGCCCTGAAACAGATGAACACTTGTGGGATGCGGGTTAATACAATTGAGGTGGAAACGCACCGAACGGAGTTCGAGGCACACCTTGAACCCGTCACTCTTCTTGAACAAATCGACCTGGATTCCCCCCCGAACCGTAAGGTAGCTATTGGGGTGGATCTGGAGGCTGACATCCGGGATGGCGTGGTTGCCGTCCTAAAAAAGTTTCAGGTATTGTTTGCTCGGGGGCCAGAAGATATGCCCGGTATTGATCCGGAGATAATATGTCACAAACTTGTCGTTCGGCCTGATGCAAAACCAGTCCAGCAGAAGAAACGGTATCAAGCGACCGAACGGCGGGAATTCACAAAGCGGGAGGTGGCCACCTTACTAAAAATAAAGCACATCCGTCCAGTAATCCACGTAGAATGGCTATCAAATGTGGTTCTGGCCCCAAAACAATCTACTTGGAGAATGTGCGTGGATTACTCGGACCTGAATAAGGCTTGCCCCATGGACCCCTATCCAGTGCCGAGGATCGATCTTCTAGTAGATGAAACTGCCGGATGTGAATTGCTGAGCTTCATGGATGCTTTCCGGGGTTACCATCAGATATTCATGCACCCGGCTGATGCAGAGAAAACGGCGTTCGTTACTTCAGATGGTGTGTTTTGCTATATCGTCATGCCATTCGGATTAAAGAACGCAATGGCAACTTTTCAAAGGATGATCGGGATGCTATTCAAAGAAGTGTTGGGGGTCACAATGGAAGC